TGTGTGTGCAGTTGTGTGTATGTAAGTGTGTGTGCATGTAGGTGTGTGCGTGTCTCACCCAGCTCTGAGGTAGCGATCTCTGGGATGGAGATCCTCAGCATTCTTCCACAACTTAGTTCCTTCAGAGAGAATGTGCACAAATTAAACGTAAACACTTTCAGTTTAATGTAAAGCAAACCGTCCACAACTACAAGGAGCTGAATCTACACCATAAACCTTAAACCTTAACGCAGGAAATGAAGTGTTTGACGCTCAGCGTGAGTCCACAGAGCTCTTTATTAAAGGAACATGATTTATATCAGTTACTTGATATTATTTTCATTTCCCAAAGAAGTCATTTGAAGGAGCATTTCATCATTGAAGTAATAAGAGGAAAAACATTTCCAGAAACTTCATCACCATAAAATAAACATGTTTCTGTAGAATAATCACCATCGTTCATGATGTAGTAATATATATTGTTATGAGTGAACGCTCCACAGAGTATCTGTGTTGAAACATGAAACCGTGACTTTAAATGTCAGTTTCTCCTGCAGGTTTGGTCCGTCGTCGTCGTCATCGCTGATTAGAAAAAAGAAACTCTGATGAGACAATAAAGAGCCGACCTGCAGACAGACAGACAGACAACATGCAGACAGACAGACATCATGCAGACAGACAGACAGACATCATGCAGACAGACAGACATCATGCAGACAGACAACATGCAGACAGACAGACATCATGCAGACAGACAGACATCATGCAGACAGACAGACAACATGCAGACAGACAACATGCAGACAGACAGACATCATGCAGACAGACAGACATCATGCAGACAGACAGACATCATGCAGACAGACAGCCAGACAGAGAGACAGAATGCAGACAGACAGACAGACGGCTGCTTCTTCTGATTGGAAGCGTTCGTCACACATGATGTGTTCAAGGGCCGTTGGAAAGATGAAAATCTGACGATAATGACGTGTTGTTTTAAAGCTTCTGGCTGTGATAAACTGTAGTTTTGGAGGTTGTTTAAAGAAAACATGCTTCCCAATCCCGCCGGCGTGTTTCGGGGGTCAAAGGGTTAAACACATGCGTGTTTTGGACTGAAAGTGTGTTTTTTCAATCATTAATACACAGAACAAGCTTATAGATTGTGTATTTATATAAGGGAATTAGAGGAAAGATGAACACGTGGTCGCTTTTCATGTCAACACAAGCTGTATCTGTAGAGAGTGGAAGAGTCAGACACACTCACCAGAGTCACCCGGTTGCAGACGGGGTCCCTCAACGCATGGATGTACGGCGTGGTGGCATGTTGGAAGGTGTAATCCTCCAGAAACGAACCTTCGTGGTGCTTCAGGTTCGGCCCCCTGAGCTCCGACACCGGTGAAGGCATCGCGGCCTGAAGGAGACGAGAAGACGAGATTAATATTCTGATTATTTCAAGCAGCGACAATGGAAGTAATTACAAAACAGTAAAACCGAATGAAGCCTGTTGATGCCGACTGTGACAGATTGTGTTGCTCTGTGGAAGATCCAACAGTCACACAATGAGAGGAACGGATTAACCGATGGAGGCAGCAGAGCCAGCGTCGACGTCATTATGTTGTTCTTTATGTTCACACCTCTGGATATATATTGATATTTATACCGTACATAGTCGTTAAATGTTTGTGCTTACATCTGCTCCACTTCGATGTCCTTGCTTTTATATGTTGGTACGTTGAGAGCAACGTAAAAAAACGGAGTCAAATCCCTTGTATGCGTTCGTATACATGGCCAATAAAGCTGATATTGATTCTGATTATTGATTCGCTCACATCGCTGCTCTATGCTAACGGCCGAGCGTGAAGAGAAACACAGAGAAGAACCGAAGGAGTCGACCTTTAAATGAACTAACGTCGGCACAATCTCTTGCATTATTACACAAAAGGATCAACGCATAAAGAACAATATGAACCTCGTCCAGTCTCTGCAGGTGTCTGCTGCCAGCGTTAGCCGGTGTGCTAACTTTCTCCGCCGCTCTGCTGAGGTGAGACAGGTGGTTGGTCAGGCTGAAGGTGGGCGACAGGAGGCCGGGGACGAACACCTTACTGACCTGGAGGAGCAACACATAGAGTCACATCAGTAATCTACAGAGAGGGAAGAATCCCGATCGATCGATCGATCGATCGATTGATTGATTGATTGGTTGGTTGGTTGATTGATTGGTCCTTACCCTGGTGATTCCCGTGTAGAGAACCAGACTGCCACAGGCCTCCAGAACCAGCATGGCGTCGATATTCTGATGTCACAAACATGTTATTAAGTCACTTAGAACTAACTTATAATCTCTATTAAATGATCATTTCCTCAAACGCACAACTTGACATGTTTAAATTTGTTTGATTTGTCTGACCAGCTGTTCAAAACCCAAAGACAATATTCACATGTGACAAGCTAGAAGAAGAAGAGGAGGAAGAAGATCTCATGAAGATAAATGTTGTAACGTACCTGCAGAGGTTCTGCGTCTTTGGCAGCGACGGTTGTGACCGAAGTGAAGATGAGCTGAGACGTGTTGTTGCTCTCAATGAACTTCACACATCTGAGGAAACAACCAACGAGAGAGACAGAGTGAGGAGGAGCTCTGTGTCTGATGTGCACTGGGTTTGATACACCGTGTGTGAAGAAGAAGAAGAAGAAGAAGAACAACAACAACAACAACAACAACAACAACAAGAACAAGAAGAAGAAGAAGAAGAAGAAGAAGAAGAAGAAGAAGAAGAAGAAGAAGAAGAAGAAGAAGTAGTCAGCTGACCGGAGCTGTTGGTGAGACTCCACCAGGAAGCAGAGGTAGCGGTTCTCACAGAGGTCAGAGGTCAGAAACACTTTGGACGCCTGGCTGCTCATCTCCCTAAAAACACAAGAAGGTGAAGATTCATGTGAAACTGAGAATAATCTGGTTTTCCTTTACGATAATAAGCCAACGTGTTTTACTAGAATATCCTAAACGCTATGCAGCTAAAGATGACCTTTATAGCTTATACCTAAACCTTTAGACGCTAACACGGCTAAGCTAAGTAGCCTCATTACTGAACTCTCAGCACAAAGCTGTCGTGGGATTCGAACCTGTGGCAGCCGGCCGCCACCGTCTCGCTCCACAGCTGCTCCATGCAGAGGTCGGGTACGATGGGCTCCACCTCCGGAGCCACCGCGCTGTCGTTGACCGTGGTGTTGGGAGACGGCAGCAGGCCGTGGTGGTGCTGCTGGTGGTGGGACGGGCTGTGAAGAGACGTGTTGAAGCGAGAAGCTCCAGAGAAGGACGGGGCCGCCATGCCAGGAGAGTGGGCCCGACTGGGGGGGGGGGGGGAGGAAGAAGAAGAAGAAGAAGAAGAGAAAGAGGAGGAGGAGGAGGAAGAGGAGAAGAAAGAGGAAGAGGAGGAGAAGAAAGAGGAGGAGGAGGAAACACAGAGAGAGAAGATACATTTGCATGAATCATGAGCTGTTTAACTTCCTAACACGAGCTCTAAGAACATTATAATACTTCATTAAAACTACTGATAACAAGATGTTTTAATTTCCTTAACATTTAAATTGTGTGTTTTTATTTAAATCACCACTTTAGATGACTTAAACAAAGTAAAATAAATAGTTGATAATAAATATCTTTTATAGACTGAAGTGAGAGGAACAGAGTGAAAACTTTATTAGTTTGCAAATAAAAACAGGAAATAAATCACAATATGTCGTAATAATAATATCGTATCTGAAGTATTGTGATAAATCTGGTGGTTCTCCTCCAGTCAGCTGATCACGACTGTGATGACACAGATTAACGGAGCCTCTCCAACCTGAAGCCACTCTCACCTGAGGGCGGCCATGTTGGAAATACTCGGGGAGTGAGCGCGGGAGTGCAACCCCGGAGAAGACGTCATGATGCGGCTCTGGTGGCTGTGCAGAGCGCCGTAGTGCAGAGGAGAGCCGGCAGAGACGACACAACTAGGACGAGACGAGAACCGGGATTAATAAAGCTTTTATGATCTGATCTGGACCAACATCTCTCTACGAGTTACTCTCTCTGCTACCTTTGAATTCTCCTGGAAAAATAGAGGCAAAACTATATGAAAACATCATTTTACAAACTCTCCTTCATCCAGTCGTACATTCACCACTTCACAAACGCATGAATCTTCACTAAAACATCACGATTTATTCAGTGTATTTCGTGCTGTGGTGTTTCAGTGCAGTGAGCATACGACTGCATAAAAGAGACTTCACATCTTAGATAATTTAGACAAACGTGGACGTGTGGGGAGACTTCTATATAAATAACAAACAGAGGCTTTATATCTCGGTAGGATTGTTTTGCTTCCTTTTACTTCCGCTCATCAAGACTTTTCTCTGTTTTCTTCTTCATGAATTGAAGGATAGCACTTAGATACAAGACGGTCATTTTGGGGTGAAGTGTTCCTTTAAGAGTCACCAAACATCCCTCATATGAACTGATTCTTACCTTGTTCCGGTTGCCCCGCTGCCACCGGGGGAGTCCAGGCGGGAGATATTTCGGAGGTGGGAGGACAGCAAGCCCGACGCCATCAGACCCAACGGGGTGCCGACCGGATCCACCGAGCACCGCAGGACTGTAGAGCGCTCCTGATGGAGGTCAGAGGCTCCAGGTGAGGGACAGGTAGACAGGTGTGTGTGTGTGTGTGTGTGATGACTCACATCCTGTGTGACTCTGCGCAGGGCCCAGACCGAGTGTGTTCCCTGCACCGTGTCATAGGAGACGACCACAGAGGGCTGACAGTAGCTGAACACGATCTTCATGGAGGCGTCCGACACGTACTGGACACGAGAGCCTTCAAACAGACCTAGAACACACACACACACACACACACACACACACACACACACACACACACAGGTCAGAACCAGGCGGCAACCTCCGGTTCTTTAAAGTGAAGCCGATGCTTCAAGTGTTAAAGCTGCATCCTCTCTAGTGTCCACCAGGGGGCGACTCCTC